ATAAATGACTATATAGCATTAGCTTCTGAGCTAATACATTTATAAATGACTATATAGCATTAGCTTCTGAGCTAATACATTTATAAATGACTATATAGCGTTAGCTTCTGAGCTAATACATATATAAATGACTATATAGCGTTAGCTTCTGAGCTAATACATACATAAATGAGTATATAGCATTAGCTTCTGAGCTAATACATATATAAATGACTATATAGCGTTAGCTTCTGAGCTAATACATACATAAATGAGTATATAGCATTAGCTTCTGAGCTAATTCATATAAAAATGAATATATAGCATTAGCTCCTGAGCTAATGCATATAAAAATAAATATATAGCATTAGCTCCTGAGCTCTAATGCATATAAAAATGAATTTATAGCATTAGCTTATGAGCTAATGCATATGTAAATGAATATATAGCATTAGCTTCTGAGCTAATACATATATGACTATATAGCGTTAGCTTCTGAGCTAATGCATACATAACTATATAGCATTAGCTTCTGAGCTAATGCATACATAAATGACTATATAGCATTAGCTTCAAAGCTAATACATATATAAATGACTATATAGCGTTAGCTTCTGAGCTAAAGCATACATAAATGACTATATAGCATTAGCTTCTGAGCTAATGCATATAAAAATGACTATAAAGTGTTACATTTTACAGTCTTGTTTTTACAGTTGAAGTAAATGTTTATTAAATAATGTCTAATGTTACAACCAGTCTGTTCCATTTAAGACATTTTTTTTTTCCTCAATCTGGTGTCACAAACCTCAGAATACTTATTATCTGTTCTCCCCAGTGTTCCGGGTCTGGCCTTGTTCACTGGTATTTGGCTAGCAGGACCACCAAGCTGAGGATCAGCCAGAGGACCAGCAGATGAGAGGTCACCAGCAGAAAGGCTACAGGGTAAAAGTGCCGCTCGCAGGCCGAACACCGAGGGAGCCGGAGACTGCGGAGACCCGAGGGAGGCTGGTCTGGATCTAACCCAGAGACGGTGAACCCTGAGTGGGCATAACAACCCAGCATCTGCCCCCAGGACAGGCGGGATCTGGAGGAGGAGGAGCCAATGTGTGCAGGTGTGAAAAGAGAAAAGAAAAACATGAAGACAGGAAGTAAGAAACAGGAGAGGAGGAGAGGAGAGAAGAGGGGAGGAGGAGGAAGCTGCACCTCCTCATGGAGCTGAGCGCGGTGCTGAAGTGCTGCTGGCTGAGCTGGTGGTTCTCCCTCAGGATGGAGCACTGCTCCAGGGTCACAGACATCGCCGTGCGGTCCTTCGCACTCTTACAGCTTGTGAGACGAACGCCGTTCACACATCGACACACCTGCAGACACATACACACACACATCCTCAATCTGTTTTCATGATGACAATAAGAACAACAGTTGTCATTGCGACTCACCGCCGCCGCGGACCACAGGACCTTCACATTCTTCCTCTTCTTCGCCTCCAAGCTGCGATCCAGAGACGACAACAACTCTGACAGAGACCGCACGCCTGCTGAGAAAAGAGCATCAAAGGCTACGTTCACACTGCAGGCAAATGTGACCCAAATCCGATTGTTTGACAGTCTGAACGCGACAAATCCAACCCAGGCCGTTTCAGTATGTGGTTTTAAATCTGATATATATCTGATGTTTTCAAAGTGACTGCAGTGTGAACGCTCATGTCACATTCATCTGACTTTTTCATCAGGAGGAGGGGGTGAAGGACCGATAAGACACCAACCTCAAGTCTCGCTGTTTAAATCTGTAGCTCCGTGTGTTTACAGCTCCAAAACACAAGTCCAGTTGCTTCATCTTTTTACTTTTCATTTTCCATGTACCGTATTTTTCGGACTATAAGCCACGACTTTTTTCCTGAGCTTTGAACCATGCGGCTTGTAGTCCGGTGCGGCTTATACATGGATTTTTTTCTTCAGCCACCAGGGGGCTCTTATGCTCCATTTGCTTCAACCACTCCCTTCAAAAACAGAAAGGAAAAAAAAAAGAAAAAAGCGATCGCTTCCAGAGCCGACTGTTGTACCAGGAAGCAGCGATTTAAAGATAGTCAATGGCCAAAAACTCATAAAAGGGGATAAAACAGACATTTTTCACGGTGGAATATGACTGATAAAAACTTTGGAGCTTAAGAGGACTTCGATGGTTTCAGTGCGCCGGAGGACGATGAATGAGACGTTTTGTTGGACCAGAAATGGTTAAAGAAAACTACCAAAATAAGGTCAGTTAAATGAACCGTATTCCTCCGAACTTTACCGGTAATTTCTAAAGGNTGAAGCAGCTGAATAATCCAGGCAGAATAATCTACCAGATTAGATAAAGTGATGTAAGAAGATGATGTTTTTTAATCAGCTTTAATCTGGATGCTTCCTGATCAATGAAGCTGTTGGTTGTTTCTGCAGGAAGTCAGCTGTCCTGTGTGACGTTAAGCTCTGACTTCACTGAAAGCTGAAGACAGGAGGGTCCACAGCTAACGGGGGGAAGGGGGGCTCCTCCAGTTCATAATGAGGGTCCGGAGCAAAGAAAACACGTTATGAGCTTCTACTCTTTCACTAAGACTTAAAGTGCCTGTGACACCAAATGTTTGTAMTAAACACGAAGACATTTTTGGAAACATAACATGGATAAATTATTGCAAAATAAAAATCACGTCGCCGAGATGAACAGTTGTGGAGATATTTGTGTGTGAACTAACAGGAAGTGATGTCAGAGGGGTATGTCTGAATGTAAACAGAGCGCTGCTACAAGACTAACACTGACCGTCGAGAAGAATCTGATGATTTTAGATCATTCTGAATCAGAGAGAAATGAAGAAGTGTTAAAGTTCAAATATATTTTTCAATAAACAAAAACCAGAGCTTTTCTTTTCAGGTCCCCTTTGATGTCACTTCCTGTTTCACATGAGCTGGGCCAAGTTCAGAAGAACATACGCCAGTAATGTGAGAAATAAATAAAATCATGTGTTTTATGTCAAGTTTCTTAAAAATAAAGATGTTTTCTTTTGACTTTTTGTATTTGAAGGATGTGCAAGTCAAGTTTTTACCGTCCAACTTGTTGATTTTATAAAAACAAACATGTTTCCAGCGGAGACATTAAAATGATCTGAACTCAATCAAACCTTTTCAGATTATCCTCCTTCTGCTCATTTTATCTCTTTTGTTACTTCAAATTAAAGCCACTAATACAAAATAAATCAAAATTTTGTTTCTGAATTTTGACACTAAAATTTCTTAAATTTGGACTAAAAGTGAAATGAACCCATCGGCACAACGACCTACGATCACCAGATGTTTTCTGACTTTAAGGTTCGGATTAGTTTTAATGTGAAGGGAATTCTTTCAGCACAAACATTGTAACAGTTTTATTTTATTTATTTGATCTTTATTTTACCAGCTGAAATCTGGAACATAAATAACTTCCAGTGAATTTAAAGTGTTTCTTCTTTGATTTCTGGAAGTTTTCATGTATTTCTGTAAGAAGAATGTGACGCTGAGTGTTCAAAATTAGAATTTAGACTTTATTTTGAAAGGGTAACAGATACAATTGAGCTTATTTATAAA